ATTGATAATTTTCATTAACAAACATAAAAAGATAAGATTGTGATTGTGTTCAGATTACTGCAATAGTCATCTCCATCATACTGACAATATCGGCAGGAACAGAAGGCAGTGGTATACAAGTGACCACAGCAGTTGTTAGTTCTGTTTTAACTTGTCATTGTGATGATATCATAAATTCACTGCAGGAAAACAAAGTCTTCTTTAACTTTTTTGCAGTCAAACTATAAAGAAAAGTTGTTTTTGTTCTATTTAGAAGAGTAGATAGGTTTGGGTCTGACAGGAAATGTAGAGGAGTATACCGTATTTTCAAGCCTATAAGCCACATTTTTTCTCTCGTGAGTTGGGCGTGCGGCTTATATGTCAGTGCCGTTTATATGTAAACAAAACTGAAAAAAATGGCGGAAAGGAAAAAAAAATGTAGTACCAGAATGTGGTAACGACCACTTGAGTTATTCCCCTTGCGCGGGAACTCTTATGCGCGGAGAGAGATATTGAGTCGACTAGAGAACAGACAGCCTACCGTGCGGGAACGATTGTGCCCTAAGACTGTGTGTCTTCGGAGACTGTGTGTCTCGCTTCCCGGACTGTGTGTTTGGAAGGACCGGACCTGTGTGGCCGTCATTTATATGTTCATTGTTATATATGCGATTGGTGCTAGTAATAAATAATTAGTTCAAAGATGTCAATAACTGGATTTTACCATGTGTTTGTGACTGAAACAAATCGTGTAGAACCAATTGCAATTGTACACTAAATGATTTGAAAATTGCAATCGAATAACATTCCAGTGGATTTAATTAATAATATATTCTTGACTTACGTGGCTTCTTCACACTGTATATTCGAGAAAGAGTAGTGGATGTTTCCAGTAGACTATTGCACCCTGGGATTGATAGGTTGTGGCCTCCGACAGGGGCATCAAAAACAATGTGTGTATACTATTACTAAAACCTTTGAAAGGGTGTTTTTGTACTATTCAAGAAGATATAGGATGCTGGGAATGGCCCTTAATACAGCCTCTTCATGTGGAAAAGTGTTTTACCCGCTTACACGATTTCCGTCATGGGGTCAAGAGGTCAAATTCTAGAATGGTCGCCATGTTTGTTTACAATGTCTGTGACTTTGATGCAGCTTACAAAAGTTATATTACAGGATTATAGGAACTTTATCAACATGCAATAGCCTTAGTTAATATTTAACACTACAGACACCGGTGGAGAGGTTGCAATACTGTACGTAACATGAGGCCCTAACTGTGCATTGGCAATCATTGTAGGCCCCAAATAAGTTCAATATTTTATGTATTTTAAATGACCAGCATAATTTAACAAGAGATCCCAGAGGGATCTTGGCGCCCACCATTTGAGGATCTGTTTTCAGTTCTTGAAGATTTTTTTTTGTTTGTTACAGGTGTTGTAAATGTTCATGAACTGGTCTTCATTGAATGTACTCAATGATGGCACAAGATATTTTTATTAAGCACCTATTAGCAAATATCATTTGAAAAAGATCCCAAAGTATTATTAGATAGCAGTCAGTTACAGGTGGATAATGGACAATATGCTTGTGCTGTATTACTGTCGACATCCAAGATGGCTGCCTGTGGGCCACCTTGATTTCAAATCAGTCCAAAAAAGGTACAATGCACAACTAGGGACCAAGGGAAACCAATATCTATGAAATATCAGAAGGATCCATCCTGGACTTCCTCAGATATAGCAGTAACAAGATTTTACTCTCAAAATCCAAGATGGCTGCCTGTCAGCCATCTTGATTTCGGATCAGTCCAAAAAGGTATAATGCACAACTTGGAACCAAAGGGAACCTGCATATGAAATTTGAGAAAGATCCATCCAGTACTTTTCAAGAAATAGCAGTAACAAACGTTTACATTCAAAATCCAAGATGGCCACCTGTCTGCCATCTTGAATTCGAATAAGTCCAAAAAAGGTACAATGCACAACTAGGGACCAAGGGGAAACTGCATATGAAATTTGAGAAAGATCCATCCAGTACTTTCCAAGAAATAGCAGTAACAAACTTTTACTTCCAAAATCCAAGATGGCTGCCTGTCGGCCATCTTGAATTCGAATCAGTCCAAAAAAGGTACAATGCACAACTAGGGACCAAGGGGAACCTGCATATGAAATTTGAGAAAGATCCATCCAGTACTTTCCAAGAAATAGCTGTAACAAACTTTTACATCCAAAATCCAAGATGGCCACCTGTCGGCCATCTTGAATTCGAATCAGTCCAAAAAAGGTACAATGCACAACTAGGGACCAAGGGGAACCTGCATATGAAATTTGAGAAAGATCCATCCAGTACTTTCCAAGAAATAGCAGTAACAAACTTTTACATTCAAAATCCAAGATGGCCACCTGTCGGCCATCTTGAATTCGAATCAGTCCAAAAAAGGTACAATGCACAACTAGGGACTAAGGGGAAACTGCATATGAAATTTGAGAAAGATCCATCCAGTACTTTCCAAGAAATAGCAGTAACAAACTTTTACTTCCAAAATCCAAGATGGCTGCCTGTCGGCCATCTTGAATTCGAATCAGTCCAAAAAAGGTACAATGCACAACTAGGGACCAAGGGGAACCTGCATATGAAATTTGAGAAAGATCCATCCAGTACTTTCCAAGAAATAGCTGTAACAAATTTTTACATCCAAAATCCAAGATGGCCACCTGTCGGCCATCTTGAATTCGAATCAGTCCAAAAAAGGTACAATGCACAACTAGGGACCAAGGGGAACCTGCATATGAAATTTGAGAAAGATCCATCCAGTACTTTCCAAGAAATAGCTGTAACAAACTTTTACATCCAAAATCCAAGATGGCCACCTGTCGGCCATCTTGAATTCGAATCAGTCCAAAAAAGGTACAATGCACAACTAGGGACCAAGGGGAACCTGCATATGAAATTTGAGAAAGATCCATCCAGTACTTTCCAAGAAATAGCAGTAACAAACTTTTACATTCAAAATCCAAGATGGCCACCTGTCGGCCATCTTGAATTCGAATCAGTCCAAAAAAGGTACAATGCACAACTAGGGACTAAGGGGAAACTGCATATGAAATTTGAGAAAGATCCATCCAGTACTTTCCAAGAAATAGCTGTAACAAACTTTTACATCCAAAATCCAAGATGGCTGCCTGTCGGCCATCTTGAATTCGAATCAGTCCAAAAAAGGTACAATGCACAACTAGGGACCAAGGGGAACCTGCATATGAAATTTGAGAAAGATCCATCCAGTACTTTCCAAGAAATAGCTGTAACAAATTTTTACATCCAAAATCCAAGATGGCCACCTGTCGGCCATCTTGAATTCGAATCAGTCCAAAAAAGGTACAATGCACAACTAGGGACCAAGGGGAACCTGCATATGAAATTTGAGAAAGATCCATCCAGTACTTTCCAAGAAATAGCAGTAACAAACTTTTACATTCAAAATCCAAGATGGCCACCTGTCGGCCATCTTGAATTCGAATCAGTCCAAAAAGGTACAATGCACAACTAGGGACTAAGGGGAAACTGCATATGAAATTTGAGAAAGATCCATCCAGTACTTTCCAAGAAATAGCTGTAACAAACTTTTACATCCAAAATCCAAGATGGCCACCTGTCGGCCATCTTGAATTCGAATCAGTCCAAAAAAGGTACAATGCACAACTAGGGACCAAGGGGAACCTGCATATGAAATTTGAGAAAGATCCATCCAGTACTTTCCAAGAAATAGCAGTAACAAACTTTTACTTCCAAAATCCAAGATGGTTGCCTGTCAGCCATCTTGAATTTGAATCAGTCCAAAAAAGGTACAATGCACAACTAGGGACCAAAGGGAAACTGCATATGAAATTTGAGGAAGATCCATTTAGTACTTTCTCAGAAATAGCGGTAACAAACTTTTACTTCCAAAATCCAAGATGGCCACCTGTCGGCCATCTTGAATTCGAATCAGTCCAAAAAAGGTACAATGCACAACTAGGGACTAAGGGGAAACTGCATATGAAATTTGAGAAAGATCCATCCAGTACTTTCCAAGAAATAGCAGTAACAAACTTTTACTTCCAAAATCCAAGATGGTTGCCTGTCAGCCATCTTGAATTTGAATCAGTCCAAAAAAGGTACAATGCACAACTAGGGACCAAAGGGAAACTGCATATGAAATTTGAGGAAGATCCATTTAGTACTTTTCAGAAATAGCGGTAACAAACTCTTACATCCAAAATCCTAGCTGGCCTTCTGTCGGCCCTCTTGAATGCGAATCAGTCCAAAAAAGGTACAATGCACAACTAGGGACCAAGGGGAAACTGCATATGAAATTTGAATAACCCACCATCTTTTGAAATAGCATGGTAACAAAAATACATCCATAAAATTAGGCCATTATTTGTGCAAAATTCAAAAAAGTAAACTTCATTAAATGTCAAACCTGCATATGAAATTTGATAAACTGCCTCCAGTTTCCAGAAATAGTGGTAACAAGAATTGTATATCGGACGGACGGACGTCAACACGCAGTGGTCATCATATCTATTTGAATAGATGGTGGGCTAAAAATACATCCATAAAATTAGGATTATTTGTGCAAAATTCATCAGTAAACTTCATTAAATGTCAAACTGACAATCTTGATAAACTGCCTCCTGTTATCTGTAACTGGTATATCAAACGTCAACAACAGTGGTCATCATATCATAAGAAAGGATGCGGCTTAAATGCCGTTGCGGTTTATACGTGGATGAAATCGTGAAAATCGCTAAAAACCTCTTTGGTGTGGTTTATAGGCCAGGAAAAGCAAGTTGTTGTTTAGTGGTGGAAGTGAGTGAGAATATAGATAGGTTTAAGAGTGACAGGACAAATAATGAAATAAGCTGTTGTTTAGTGGTAGAAGTGAGTGAGAGTATAGATAGTTTTATGTCTGACAGGACAAATAATGAAACAAGCTGTTATTTAGCGGTAGAAGTATTAAGAAAAGTAATTTTACTTACAGTACACAGCCCTCTCTGCTCTCTAAGATAGTTCCCTTTGGGCCAAACTTGCAGTTGGGACTTACACCATACAGGGACTTTGTCCTCCTGGAACATCAGAATATACAATGTAAGTATTCTCACCTCTCTGAATCAATATTCTTAGGTTAGGAAATAAAACTGTTCATAGCATTTGTTGATGAATAAAATAATTTAATAAATGAAAGAGATACAAAGGAAGATTAAGACCAAAAGGTGATTTATTAATCTTCAATTATAACTTAATGAATTTTCGACTGAAATCCAAAGGCTGGACAACAAATTATCTGAAGTGTTATGCTTTTGAAAAATTGAAGCGCTATTGAAAATCGTTTTTATACAAACATGTTGAAGATAACACGAATCAAGCAATTACCTATTGTCAATATGTGACATTTTGACCACTACATTTCAATTCAATATTATCAAAATCATTTAACAGTTGTTATCTAGGCCTTATTACATGGAGACCTTGTAAAGCTACGTTGTAATTATTGTTATAGTGACCTTCAATAGTTGAACAAAAGGCCAGGATTTACCATATTGGCCAAACTTGTCATTTTTCCATATCGAACATTGAATATTGAAATAGCAACAAAGTCTGGTTCATTGTAAGATGTAAAGATTTGAAAAGTTTTTGAAGAAGGAGCAACAAATGCAAGGCCATTATTTCTTTCTGATTGTAAGGAACAGTCATTTAACACACTTTTGTTTGCTGAAATGAAAATATAAACTGATTCATTACAAACTGTGCTTCAACCACATTCAGGTGTGTTGAAATAATATCATTAGGAAGAAATGCTCAAATTTTAGTCTGAAACTTGGCATACAAATGTGAATACTTAATATAGGACACATGCACTGGGTCATTAGGATGGTGATTCAAATGGGCTGTGAGAGATTTTAATGTAAAATAGTACAAAAAACATCATGAAAGGTGAGGAATGGTTTTAATTTGATATATATATGCATCAAACAGAACTAAAAACAGAATACATCCTGTATATTTCTCTTTATCATGTAGTATAGTTCATGTTAGTAAACAATTTCTTTCTCAAGAGAAAATAAACAGATACCAATTAGACAGTGATTTCAACCATAACACTGAACCAAAGCTTCTGGTGCGAACATCACAATTCAGTCAAAACAATGACAGAAATACAGGCAAGGACTTGAAACAAAGATTAAATACACCCTCTTACAGCAAGGTCAAGGTCTACATACTCTCGTGCAACGTCTATATACACTCTAACAACTAGGCCAAGGTCTATTTACCCTCTAACAACTAAGCCCAGGTCTATATAATCTCTAACAACTGGGCAAAGGTCTAAATACCCTTTTACAACTAGGTCTAGGTCTACGTACACTAACAATCAGAGCCAGCTCTATATACTCTAGAACTGGTTCAAGGTTTATCCTCTCTTACACTTAATTGGGTCTATGTCTATATAATCTAACAACAAGGGCCATACTCTTGACCATGCAGCTGTCTATGTCTATAACTCTTGACACTGTGTGTCTAGATAAAGATGTAACAACCAAGAAAGGAAGAGATGACTTCCTTGGTGTCATCAGGAATCAACAGGATATGATGATTAACCACAGATCATTTAATTTACAGTCTGACAGGAAACCTTATCTCACCGTGGAAGTGTGTGACCTCTGATAAGCTATAACATACATCTGATCTAAAATTTGTTTGCTTGTTGCTAGGGTTTATCACCTGTTACAATACCTAGTGGTAAACTCATTGAACAACAGACAGGAGGCCTATCACATGCTTTTGAAAGCAATTAGAATCAAGTGTCTTAGCAAATAAATGACATCACCATGTCAGCACAAACTCGTCTGTTTTCCAGCTTCCTGAAAAACCGAAACTACCATTTTCTCAGCAAATTGAGAAACAAAAAATGCCACAGACTAGAAGCATCAGACCATGCACCTTGAATCTTGACATGAGGCTACACAGGCCAGTGCTCCGATTGATTGAGCTATTGCAGCCACCTGATCATAAAATGCTATACTTAATACAGGTATGTCCTCAAGATATGTTTCCTCTTAATGATGGACAAGACAAGAGGGTCAATGTCAACTTTTTGTGATGAAAATATATCGAGCAATGCTAGAGGGCCAAAGTTTAAAATTATTTTGAAGTGTTTGTATAATGTTGTTTAGTAAAATCTGAAAACAAAATTAGAACATATTTTATGGATGAATATAAATTAACACTACAAAATTACGCTGACAGGGAATTTATGATGGCTGACAAGAGCCTGACAAAATGGTAGGAATTTTTATTTCTCTTTATACCATGGTACACTTTAGCATGGTACAAAATGATGTGAAAATTCACTTCTTTGTGTGCCATCATTGGTACCAAAAGATATGAAAGCATTTAAGATGTCATTTTGTTCCCTTTATATGTTTCTGTACCAAAATAACCACCAAAAACAGCGATGGTTCAGAAATATGTGAAATCATCAGATGAAAAAGGTTAGCAAGTATGATTAATTAAACCCTAATTAAATATGCTGTCATCACACATCAGTGACATTCCATCGCCCAGATTGTACCAGGTTACATTTGGTAGCAATATTTCCAGGGGCTTGTGTTGTATATACATGTAAATGTGTTCAGAAACAAAGTATTCTACAAACTCCCAGAAACAAACATGTATACTATACTATCACAAAGACACATAGTATACTAAACAAGCCCCCAGCTCAAATACTCACACAGTTCTTATAACATTGGTACCAAGGTAGTACACAAACAAAATAGGAATTTTTATTTCTTTGTGTACCATATAAAAGTGTACCCAGGTACAAAAAGGTATGAAGATGCATATTTTTTTGTCAGACTCTTGTCAGCCATCGTAGGAATTAAATTTGTAAATTAATTACACAAAGCAGGTCTAATATTGCAAAGTCATTCAGTAATGATGGACAAACAACAATAACACAACACAGCCATGGTGAGAATATATAGTAAAAAAGCAAGGTGTTGGATATATCTCATATTCTTAGCTAGCTTGGACAGTAATATTCTAATGAACCAACAAATAACATAATTGTGTGAGATTTAAAAAGATGTATATGTACACACAATTTCTAATTTCTCATCTCCATGTACAATAAATGATCACCAACAACAAATTATCAACAAATCTAAAACAAAACAGATCTTGGTGTCCACCATTGTTTTTGATCTTTATTTGCTCTTTGAATCTTTTCCCTTCTTTACTCTTCACTTTTTTGCTGTTACTCCTAAGAAATTTGAACATTCCTTTGTGGTGATGATAATCCTGCCAAATCCAAGATAAAATGGATTTTTTTGATGTTTTCAGAGACTGATCCATAACTTAGATGTGGACCCATAACCGACATAGAAAACAAACTGACACTTCATACAAGAAGAAAAGCACCCAAGAAAGTTTTATGTCTTTGATATACTGACCAAGATAATTGGATAGGGATAAGTTTTTTCATTGTTCTTCATGAAAAACCAGGTGTATTCAAGTATTAGTAAACACTATGAAATTATTCGTTGACAATTTATACCTTATTCATCATACAATAAGCCCAGACAATAGAACATGTACATTTGTAAACTCAAAGTAACAGGCTTATTATCAGATAAATATGGAACTACAATTCTGCACTATGTACATATACGTGGAATGCAAGGAGCGTTTGAACAACACAGAATGGACAACACAAAATCTATTTATATTCTAACATTACTACGACAGAGAGATATAAACTTTACCTCCGCCCATGTTCATCACGCTGGCTTCAGTAAGGAGAAAACAAACAGCATCACATTAATTGTCTACCATTTGTTTACAATAAAATATGGTAAATGCTGTTTAATGTTTCATAAATTCACCATTTTTACCAAAAACTCAAACACAAAAGGATGTATTTTTCACAGACATCATGAACTAAGCTAATTGGGTTTTTTCCCCTTATAATCGTATTTTCAAGAAGTTAATATTTCATGACTTCATTCCATCCTCTAAATATCATGAAAATCCCATGAAATAACAATATGAACAGTATAAATTTAGAGTGGTATAAGATGTGGTCAAAACAGGTACAGGTGTTGTATTACAGGTTTGGTGAAACTGTTTATAGGTCTACTACACCAACTAAATGCCAGCTTCATTTCTCTATATGTGACCCAATAAGATTCAAAGAAATATTGTTATGAAATTGTTTCACAGTTCAGAAGAATTTATACAGTACCAAGATGCCTAATGGGCCTGCATTGCTCACCTGGTATTCAATGTTCATTAAAAATAGAATTGATATCCCTATCACAAATATATTGATATATTTCTTTTCACCTTTTGGTTAGTCAAAAGAAGTTGTTTAAAGATTTTACTAAATTCACCCCGTGACATCAAGTAAGGCTTCGTCATTTCTTTTCACAAACTTTGCCGGGATTTATCTTAGAGAGCTATCAGCCAAAGCTTTTGCATCGATTGGTTAATCAGAAGAAGTCATTTAAAAGTTTTAACAAAGATGACCTTTGTGATCTTGAATAAGAGTCATGGTCATTTCTTGACAAATAATGTCACCTTTTATCTTGTGAACATATTACCCAAACACCACCCTTCTATGTCTTTTGGTTAGAAGAAGTCGTATAAAAGTTTTAACAAATTTGATCCCTGTGACCTTGAATACGCATGCATCAAGGTCATTTCTTCTTGCCAAAATTGTCAGTTTCATCCTAGGAAGATACCAACCAAACATCATGCCTCCAGATCTTTTAGAGTTCATGAGAAGATATCATTTAAAGGTTTTAACAAATTTTACCCCTGTGACCTTGAATATAGGTCAAAGCCATTTCTTTTCAAAATTTTGTCTGGCTCCATCCTAGGAGCATACCAGCCAAATATTATGTCTATAGGCATTTTAGTTCATGGGAAGAAACCATTTAAATATTTCAACAAATTTGACCCCTGTGACCTTGAATATAGGTAGAGGTCATTTCTTTTCATAAACATAGACTTCCCCCTAGGAACATACCAGGCAAATAACAAAACATTCTGTCCATTGGTTATT